GCTCCCAAAAGAAGAAAGTACCGCCGCCTTGATGAGAGAATCGTAGACGAGAAGAATTTATTAATAACTGGTGCCAAGACCCCCATTGAATACCTCAACACTGCTATGAATTTTGCTGGACTGTGAATTGTCATGTTTATCAAACTGTTTATAAATATTTATACTATAAAAATGTATTTATTTAGTTAATATATGTATTTATTTATTTAGTTAATATATGCATATATAATTATTTATTATATATTTGTACTTATTATATATACAACTGGCGGTAGTTTTTTCTTTGATGTCCATAGCAGTTATATCTCATAACAACCTGTCATGACGTCATCATAGGTTAATATATTCCTTCATATTAACCGCTGATGACGTCATGACAGGTTGATATTTCATATCAACCGCTAATGACGTCATCTCAGGTCGATATATTCGGCTCACATCAACCGCTGATGACATAGATGATCGAAATAAAACAAAAAACACGGAAATACATTTATATTCTTTTGACAATTAAAAATTGTTATGGTACAGTTTGTAACATCCCGGGCCGAAATAGACGTCGTACTTATCGATGTGCATGTATACTATTCAAAAAAAGTAGGGGATATTTGATTTTTAAGTGTTATTAAAGTCACCTAATGAAACTGACGAAGAAACAAATGACAAAATGAAATGAAGTTCACATTCATCGATTTATTCCAAATGATCGTCAGACTAAGTAAGGCACAGACTGACCATTATAAGGGTAAAATGATACCCGGGGTCAAACAGCAAAGTTACCACAGCATCACAACCAAGTCAGTAACGGGTAAATCCTCCTCTGTTTGCCAAACAAGCATTGATCCGACGTGGCATACTCCTAATGAGACGTCTAAGGTCATTTTGGTCCAGATTGTCCCATTCCTGTTGCAACGCAGCAGCAAGTTCTTGGACATTGGCAGGACGTTGTTGACGTTGACGTAACCTCTGTCCAAGCATGTCCCAGACATGCTCGATGGGGGAGAGGTCGGGACTCAGTGCTGGCCAAGGTAATGTGGTGATGTTCTGTTGTTGGAGGTAACCTGTAACGATCCTGGCCCTGTGACATCTTGCGTTGTCATCCTGGAAGATGAAACGGCGGCCATGACGTCGTGCGAACGGCACAACATGGACTGCCAAGATGTTGTCCCGGTAGTACAGGCCTGTAACACGCCCTGCAACAACATGTAAAGCCGTTCTTCCAGCAACAGTGATGCCTCCCCACACCATAACAGAACCACCCCAAAATCGATCATGTCTGATGACGTTAACGTCTTGGAAGCGCTCGTTTCGACGACGCCACACCCTCCTACGTCTGTCCAAAAAATCAACAGTGAACCTTGACTCATCTGAAAACATCACATTGCTCCAGCGTCGATTATCCCAGTGTTGACGATCCCTACACCAACGACGTCTTGCCTGAATGTGATGATCTCTCAAACAAGGGATCACGCGAGGACGTCGGGCGCGAAGGTGACCCCCATGCAGTCGATTCCGAATCGTCTGGCCACTCACTCTCACACCAGTGTCTGTTTGAAGACGAGCGCTGATCTGATTTGCTGTGATGACACGATTTCTCAAGGCCAAGGTACGGATAAATCGATCCTGGGCTTGAGTTGTCGCCCTTGGTCGACCTGAGCGTGGTCTGTCCTGTACAGATTGTGTATCACGGTATCTGGACCATAGCCTGCTTATGACAGACTTGAGAAACATTCATCGTCCGCGCCACAACCGCCTGTGTTGTGCCGATCTGTAGCATGCCAAGGGCACGTAACCTTTCACTTTGGGTAAGCCGACGCATATCAAAATTTGTTTTCTGGTCACTAAAACAATTAAACTGATGTTTCCACCCTGGAATTCAATGCCACAATGACTGTAACATTCAAAGTCAGAGTCATGCAAATCTTGGGTTGGACCCCCATGATGATCCCAAGCATCACCTGCATTCCATGCGGTAGCTGTTTGGGCGTCACATGTAACTGGAAATGTTTCTTCTGTTAGGTTCTATAGTGACTTTTTTCGTAGTCATTTGCATATTTTAGTATTATGCCCCCAAAATCAAATATCCCCTACTTTTTTTGAATAGTATATTTAGATGGGTTATCCATGTCTAAGACATTTCAGAATTTTCTTTTCGTCCACATTGCGATTATTTCTCCACACACTACAAGACTTGAAAGTATTTATCGCCCAAGAGTTCCTTTGTAAAGTATTTTTGGGTACAGCCCACTTAAAACTGTCGGTCAAATCCTTCTCTGAACATACCGAAAACCTTCAATCATCATGGTTTACTGTCAGAATTCTTGGAAAGAATGCCTTTTGGTCCAAATTTTCTGCAGGCTTTGGATAAATCCTCGTCGATATTTGCATTCACATCTATTCCATCGTCAATATGTTGGCTAAAAAGGATTGATTATTCGCCTGACTTCGTATTACTATCCATTTTGTTTTTGCTTTCAATTCAATAGTCCAAAATGGCGATGTGTAAACAAAAACATGCACGTAATTACACGTGATTACTTCGGTAATTTTCGCTATTTGGCGGAAATTATCGAGCAATTATCCAATCATTGTTGCCTTTTAATGGAAGAGCCCATTAAATTTAAGGGTGAAATGGCGTTGTATATGTCGGATATAAACCTACTCTCCCTCGGGTAGGTTAATATCCTATACATATCAAACTGTTTATGCATTTATTTATTTATTTATTTACTATGTTGAAATGTCACAAACTTGTTACAGACTATACTTTAAATCCCCTTAAACCCCCTTTGTTGGTTAATTAGTCATGACCGGGTGGACCTAGACTGTAAACAATAGATGTGGGGAATGTGAGGTGTCCCCATGTCACTACTCTTGTGGTGTTGTCGCTCGTATATCCACACGCCTTAAATGATTATAAATATGGACCTGTTGCGGGGATATTTCGAAATACCCTTTTGCTACTGCTAGTATGATAAAGAAATGGTACTCTGAAGAATTTTCATAGCTTTGAATTCGTCATAACTTGATATAATGGATGCTGTGTTCATCATTTCAAGTAGGAAATGAGTTAAAAGGAAATGAAATGGGGTTTGACGTCCATACTTTTCCGCACAGACGAGGCTATAATGTTGTCCCGGATTATAGCGACACTGCGGCCTATTCTTATTTCAAATTCCAACTGTCAATGGTTCATCTTCAATGGTTCTCAACCTGTTTTTGCCAACGGCACACCTTGGAACACATGCAAAAATAGCGGCACACCTGGCTAAATATATGAAAAATATTTGAATTTTGCAAAATAAAGAAAAACACAGTTATAAACTTACTTTATTTCAGTGTTTCGAATTTCATCAATCAAATAGCTGGCTTCTTTATTGAGAAAGTTTCTTAGTGTGCTGTTCAAATTTCGCGGCACACTTAGGAAGCTCTTGTGGCACACCTGTGTGCCGCGGCACACAGGCTGAGAATCACTGATCTATAGGTGCACGTCAATGTGTAGATAAGAAACCTCATCTCACAACACTCACATCCGTATATATCTCAACGTTTTTAGCTACTTTCTCGTAGCAGTAGTCAATGGTGTAGGCCTACAGGGGATACCACGCCGGAAAACTTTCGACCAACACCGGGAGCAAACCCGAGACAAGGTTAGCGAACCAGTGTCTTACTAACTGAGTCACCGCGGCTCCTCGAATCAAATAGGAGTTGATGAAAAAACAGACTTTAATGCTAGTTGGAAATAACTATAGAGAACAAGTAAACGGAAAAATGTCAATCCGATAATTATGTCAGGGTTGATTGAATGGTTCTCAAATTTCATTTCAATTATGTATTTTGGAATCTGTAGGAATATGTATATTGTCAAGTACCTTTTTTGTCATACACGTGTTAAAATAAATAAATTTGTAACTTCCGACAAAACTTAATATTGATAAGGGTCTCTTCCTGTTTTTGAAATGTGGATCAGTGTCATAAATATAAGTTAAAACAATTTATAACCCACAAGAAAGTGCAATTCAATCTTAAAAGAAAGAATAAAAATATTCCACACCCTTCCTCTATTTTATTTCCTGTGATTTTGTCGATCCCTAGATTCCATGCATACTACAATCTCAAAAAGATTTAACTCACTTTTATCTCACTGCCCTGGCGTATTTCCGTCTTGAATGAATTTTTTTTAACCTACTGTACATGTCTTATCCTACAAATGGAAATGAATACTAATGACAATTCTATAGGCCTGCCCAGTGACGGATCAAGGCAAGTGCAACAGAGGCAGATGCCTCTGGTCCGGGTCAAAAAAGGGGTCCGGCGATTAGGTGATCAAAAAACAAAAAAAAATACGTTTTTATATTTTGTAGAAAAAAATAATGAAGACCCATTTCCCCCAAATCCTTAAACCCCGAGAGGGGAGAGCCGTAGCCTACCCCGCCCCTTCTTCCAGGATGTCATCTTGTCACTGGAGCCCGGCAGCTAGGCTGCCTCCTAAGGACTGTCTATAAGCAACAATTTGATATCACCATTAGAAATCAAAATCTTGCAAGCCTAGTTAGGTGTTTACCCGGGAGTCACGGTGGCTTAATTGCTATGCTGGAGAGCGGGTGTTCGTTCGATCCCTGCATTGACCGATAAAGTTCATCCAGATTTTCCGGCGTGGTTCCCCCTTGTCAGTGATGCAGGACGGAGGGCCTAAAAGTAGTAAAAAAAGATCCCTTGACAGTTGGAATTCGATATAAGATACCGCGGCGTAGTGCCGCTGCCCGGGAAAAATTTCCCTCATCATAACACACTGTAGGCTATGTTATGCCTATGGCGTATACATGTCCGTCTTCATTAGCCCAATTCGGAGCAGAACAGTATACGTTAAACCTCATAATTTTATTTCATTTCCAGGTTTTTACCGCATTAGCAAAAGAATTATAAATTCAAGGCCCTGGCTTATTTTAACGAAACGTGATATTATTTCGTTATTACGTTTCGTTAAAATAAGCCGGGGCCTTGAATTTACAATGCTTCAACCTTGAACTTTGCTGAAAATTTAAGCGAAAGGTAATGTTTACTAATACTATATTATTTTTATAAGTATTATTTGTAGCATGGTTTTGAAACATGCATATATATAGATACACCGCAAGCCTTGTATGATACAAAGGGAATAATTAACGTTTAATGAAATAAATGAATGGCATATTGTTATTTTGTTAATTTGTTTTTTAGAAGAATCATTGAAACTGATGAAAGTTGATTTCGATTTGTGGTACTCGACTGACTGAGATCACTGGTAGTGTGTAGGCTAATCACACACACCTCTCAAACTTAATTAGCTAGTATTAGAAAGTGGACCTCCTGCAAATCTTACCAAAACAATATTGTAATTAATATCATATAACTTGGCTAGTTAAATTGTCTGCGATATCAACCAAGTTCGAAGTGGACATAAAACCCCACAGATTAACGAACGGCAGGTTAATTATGGATAATGATTTGAACAGAATTTATATCATTGCCTCAGATTATGTGAATAAATAAATCTTCAATAATGAAGATTGCCTGATTTGTTGTTTATGACCGCGCTAGTGTATATTTCAGTTACTATCATACATTATATTTATAAATTTACATTATTAGATTTTATTACCTGTAACCAACGACAAATAAACAACAGCTTTTGTCTAATAGTAGACCTACTATAGGCTAATTATTAAAGAATGGATGGTATTGAAGAGATAGAAGGCTGGTTACTGGATTATGCATGTTATCATAGAGAGTTTGAAGTGTTAAAAGGTAAGCTTGTTCTTTAACTGTTGCAAAAGGAGGCGTAGATGAAGGGGGGCAGGGGTGTATATTATTCCACGTTGACCTTGTTCTTCCTCACAACCTTTCCCCCCTGTGACCCAAACTTTTCTTCCCGTCACCTCACATATTTAAGTCAGAAAATATGCTTCTTCACACCCAAGTAGAAAAATATCCTTCCTCATTCATAGATGAAATATTTTATTTTTTTTATAAAGTGATGGCAATATCCAAAGTGAGGAAAATAATATCAGTTGTCATAGTCGTAGGATGAAGAAATTTTTTTCCAAAGAGTTAATTAAAGAATTTTTTTTTTTTTATGTCATGTAAGCTGACATGTACCTTTTATTCCTCACTCTGTACCTTTTTATCCTCAATATTTATTGCCCCTGTAGCTGGGGGTGGGGGGGGTAGGGATTGGTCGACAAATGCAATTTGCATACAACATACTAATACTATACAATATTACAAACTAAATGGCAAATATCTAGTGACTTTCAAATGATACATCCATACAATAATATTAACACAAAGCATTGGTTTGAAAATGATTAAAATTGATTAATCCTAAGAGTTTACGTTACTTTTTATTGATTTTACACTGGGTTTTATGTTTTATTGTCTGAATTACTATTTAAAGAACATTTTTCACTTTCAACCCTTATTTTTGTTCAATTTAGATATAGCAAAATGAACATTGGTTTTGTTACTTCGGTGCATAATAATTATTATAATATAGAAAATTGTATGTTATTGAGTTTAAGAATTGTGAATTATAATATAAAACATTTATATTAATATTAGCTTAAAGATACATTATGGGAGATTTTTATAGAGAGTTGGCCATTCTTGCTACAACAGTTCAAAAGTAGATGATGAAAGAAGAATATATTGAAAAATTCAGTCAAATTACTTTATTCTGAACATAGTTATCATCGTTGTAATATTTGACTAAAAATGGTAGTGAAATGCGTCTTCACCTTCGCCGATCGTTTGATTGACAGGCGTTAACTCCACCTACATATCTCGATTATCAAGTAAAGTTTTCAATGGCATACGGAAACGCTTTACAGCGGCCTCACTAAGTACACTCTATCATTAGCCTCGATCTAACTGACGTATTTTCATCAGGTTATCCCTTATTTGTTTTAATCAATTAGTGAAATCCTATTTAAATCCGAGCTGTAGCCGAGCCATCCGTGGGTCTACAGAGTTGATTTTGGTTTTGTTGTTTAAATAAAGATCTAATTTATAATTTCTATAACATCTGTAGCCTAAATTAAGACTTGCAATAATCAGATTTAGCTCTTGCATAATGCAAGTTTAAGTACAAATAACTGCTTGTGTGTGCATTGTTAGTTTGGGTGTTAATTGGATATGTACAGACAACATTCCAAATCAGAACTTGGTGTGGGCACAAATTCGTAGTCTCGATCATCCAGCACTCTTGAGCTTTGCCAACAACGGTCTGGAACCTGTTTTTAGATTTCAATTCTTGTCTTTGAAAAATGTCCTACTTCTTTGATTGGCTAGTCCGTAGTTCAGGATATTCATAGTGATTGGTCCACACACATGTGTCAATGTTTAAAGGGCTAATCCCGATATTTTTTGCAGAATAAAACTGCTTAATTTTGTGTTAAAATCCCTTAACACTAACTCACTATTTGTGATATGTTTTCAAACAACTTAAACCTGCCAGTCTTCATCTGGAACGGGAATCGATTATCAGGTCACCCAACGAAAAAACTGACCCGAAATCTTAAAAGGGTTACGTGTCCGGATAAGCAGTTTTGACATTCACGTCCAAACGACTCAATATTTTAAGCTGGAATTTTGAGAGAAGGTAAATAACCCATTCCTCTATATTTTGGCGCTTAAATTTCATACATATTTTTGAGACTCTTTTGAAATCGGGATAGTCCCTTTAAGCTATTATATCCCACTTCTACCTCGTTGCCAGTGGCAACCTTTGATAAAACTGTCCTGTTTATTTCCAATACAGGCATAAAAGTATCCGTGTATCAGAAATGAACAGAACGCTTTCCATAAAGAGTACTGTTCATTTCCGACAAATGAACACTTTTATACAAGCAGGATGAAAACAAACGCCTAGAAAGTCATAAATTTTATTAAAAATAAATTTCAACAGACGAACCATCCACCAATGCACACTTCACCAGGATTGATCCACATTGTGTAGTGTCCTTTACATTACGTTTAATATAATTGCAGTCCTCTACGCCAGGGACAAGTTGTTTTGACGATGTGGTTGGCTCTATGTTCTAAAGAAAAACTTGTGACTGTTTTACACTCAGGGTAATGCAGCAAGACGCACATATAAATACTACTCAGGTCGTTTCTGTGGTAATTGGCTGATTGGGACCATGGCTGATTGGCACCTGGCTGACTGGAACCAGATTTGTGGCTGATTGGGACCAGATTCTTGGCTGACTGGGACCAGATTTATGGCTGATTGGGACCACGACAAGGCTCATTCGGACCATTACTTAAATGACGCGAGTATTTAAAATATGTTTGCATATTTTTAATAATAAGACAACTATGACAATAAATAGTGTAATTAGTCACAAATAGTAGTGTAATTAGTGAATGACGGCTTCAATACAAATGAGCTAAATCACAGAGAAGATGCTTCACATTCTTGGCTGATTTGGACCAGATTCTTGGCTGATTCGGACCATGATCAGACCAATGACGAGAGTGTTTTAAATTATTATCAAATTGTAACCCAATATCAAATAGCCTCATATCAGTATAATTACTGCAACTAATGCGATATTTTGTAATGAGTGAAGTTGACAAACTGTTCTTTGTATAATATTTTATAATGGATTCGGATTTCCGTTATGCTACTGTTTTGCTAGTATTAGTTTTCAAATTTGTATGACTTACTGAAATTAGCATAAATTGGTTTAAACAGTAATTCTACGTATAATTACACACAATATATAGGCTATAATGGATTCCGAAACAAGCTATGAAGTTTATAAAATAAAATAAAAATGGTCTGTTTAAATTGCATAAAACGTATAATAATTTATATAAGATTAATGAGATAATCTCTGTTAATATAGTAACTGTGACATAAAAAAATGGAATATAAACATAAATAACGTAGGCCTACATAAAAGCATATAGTTATAGTCACGCTATGGCCTAGATAATACTCCTTTAAACTTAATTCAATATCAAAACCTCAGTTTCTAGTATTTTTTATCGTGTGGTCCGAATCAGCCTAGTGGTGGTCCCAATCAGCCTGGAATGTGGTCCCAATCGGCCTGGAATGTGGTCCCAATCAGCTTTGACTTTTGGTCCCAATCAGCCATGGTCCCAATCAGCCATGGTCCCAATCAGCTTGGTTTTGTTTCTCCACTGCGAAATCATTCTACCACGAAATGTAATGCGAGGCATAGAAAGGGATAAATGAAAGAGCAGAAAGTATTTGTCACATTTCGCTTGACACGACTCGATAATAAATACTATTTTTCACATTTCGCTTCACAATACTCGATAGAAATGTGATGTAAGTGACTTAATAGCACCTTTCCTAAGTGTATCAGTGAAGATCAAGACAGTTTTGGTCGGGGCCGCCTCGGCTGGGCCCCTCGGCCAAAACTGTCCTGATCTTCACCGATACACCTTGGAAAGTGTGCTAATAACTACTACATACATGTACATATTTGAACTCATTTCTGGTCCAGTACTGGATATGACTAAATATCTACCAGTAAACTTATGTAAAGTTTATAATCTATACAAATGTATATAAATGATTAAATTCTCAAGCAAGCCTGTTTTAAAGAGGACTAAACAAAAACAATTTCTAGTAAATAACACCAAATTGTAATCCTTAAGAAGAGAACTTGATCACAAATAAATGTATTTTTCAGCAATTTCAAAGAGGCATCCAGGATGTGTGGACTTTCATGAGAATTTAGGCTTACCTACAATAAGATATGCTTCTATCATCATACATCATATTGTAGATAAGAGTATGTTTGGATCCTTTTCTATTGCCTGTAAACTAGCTGATGATGTTTATGGATCTATGAAAGAAAATCTACCATTTGATACATATGCCAAACTGTCCTGTGGTCTTAAAATAAAGGTTGGTCTATTTGAATGTTTACGCAGTCAAAAAAGTATTTTTATCTAGCTTTTTATAGAGGGATTACAGTTAATTATAACCCCCATCAACAAAATAACTCTCCTTATTATAACTTTTGCTGACTTATCATATCCCTCACCATGTCCAAATTGGGACAGCTTTTTTTTAGGAGAGTCATTATTGACTTTATGAATCAAGGAGAAGAAGAGCTATTTTCAGGTCAAAAGTAAACAGAAAACAATGACTGATTTTATGTATTGATTTGATTGATGACAATCTGTCCTTTGTAGAAAATTTCACATCTGTAGATAAAGTCTGTATTAAGATATAACCGATTTTGTATTCCAAAGACAAAACAGTTTAATCCATAATGTTAACTTTATTTGTAAATAAGCACCGACTTCTACTTAATCTTTAGAAACCCAAATTTAATCATATAAATCTTTCCCCAACCTTTCCCCAACACAATTCGATATAACCCAATCAAAGAGGTTTAGCTCTTTAAAATGTTACCCATGTTTTGTTTTTTTCAGAGTTTGTTTCATTATTTAACGAAGAGACCTACAACCCATACTCTAGCTAAATTAAACGAATATTTTCCTAGAACGGGATTGAAGAATACTACAGCTGTAAGTTTACATATATTTTGCATTTCAAATATTTCAAATTTTATTACTTTAAAAGTTGAATAATAATACCCTACGGCATATTTACACGTCTGATTCAATTAACTGGTTTCAATTTTTAACCTGTAGTTTCACAGGCTTGCTGAATTGATATACGTATATATTGTTTTAAAGAAATTAATCTGAGATGAACTGCAAGTATTTATTCTATACATTAGAAGAATGATCCCTTGCCAGTTGAAAATGAAATGAAATGGGGTTTAACGTCCCTTGCCAGTTGAACAGACACAGCTACTATTTATACTTTCTCGTGTATCTTCATTGCTACACTTACCTCCGGTTTCCTCCCACTACTAAAGACCCCTACTCGCAAGCGAATTATTGAAATAAAATTAAACCATATGTTAGAATCCCCGGTTGTACGTGACAAGGAGTAGGGTCGTCTGTCCAACCTCGTGGGTTTTCTCCGGTCCTCCGGTTTCCTCCCACTGCTAAAGACCCCTACGCGCAAGCGAATTATTGAAATAAAAAATTAAACCATATGTCAGTCCCGTAATGACCTAGTTTGTGTCGAGTGGACGTTAAACCACATTTCTGCTGATTTCTGCTACACTTACCAGTGCATTGTTTCTAATTAACTGTCTAATCAGAGCTTGGTTATTATGTTGACTTACTGGATGGATAAAAAAGGAAAAAGAAATTACTCTAGGAAATTGACTGAACAAAGCTCACCTCTAGATTTTATCTTGCAATTTGTCTACTGATACTGCTCGGATTGAAAATAAGTATATATTTCCGAAAAAGATTAAACAATGCCTATAATAAGTTTGGAGTAAAAACACCAGAGATTAGTCTACACAAAAAAAAATTATTCTAATTCTCAGACAATCCTTTTAAAAAAATCAGATAAAGGACTGAGGTTTTTATTTTTGTGTTTTAATTTTGTCAAAGAATCATGGCTAAATGGCTCATCACAAACATCCGATTTCAAAGTTCTATATTTATTCATGTTGTTTTCAGGAATTTATTTACATAATTACTAATTCTCATGTAACATATCTAAAATTTAATGAATGCTTAGTTCAATTATGTTTAAAAGAAGTAACTAATGTCTTGCCGATCTACAGATGAAAGAACAGATTTTGTAATTCAACTGTGAATTTTGCTACTTTCATCTCCTTTCTCCATGGAGTATAATTTTAGTCATTTCTTTCTCATTGCTAGATGTAGTAGTTCACGGGATAGTAATGATCCATGAAAGAATAGAATTGAAAACATTCTATCGTTGAACACTATTGAAATATTTGTTAATTTAAATTTATGATGTTTTATATCTTACAGACAAGTAAAGAATTAAAGAAACTGAATAAACTAACTTCTAACTTCCGTAAATTCTTCTTACCATTATTAGCCAATGAGAATCAAAGAAAAGATTTTATAAGGAATGAGTATCCCGAGGAATATGGAGCAAAGTATATAGAATCGTTAAAAAAAATAGCATATAGATTTATAAATCTCACAGAAAAACAGATGCCACCGCCAGTTATACAAAAGGTATGGTACAGGCCAGGGCTCTCATCAAGTTAAACTTGACTGACGAATAGTAAAACTGACCAGCTGCAGAATGTATATTGCTTAGAATCCTTTCCAGTCAAAAATACATTTTTTGTACCCCGCCTTTCGAAGAAAGTAGGGGACTATTAAAATGGGTTTGTCTGTCTGTCCGTCCGTCTGTCTGTTTGTCCGTTACACTTTTTTGGGACACAATAACCCTCCTTAGGTCAATGCCTTGATGAAGTTCGAAGATGAGCATTTTCTGCTTAGGATAAGCAGAGATAAGCAATTTGATTGGTTGATACTTTGGGACACAATAACTTTAGTTCTAATTAAGTCAGAGTGATGAAACTTGGTGTATAGTTTCATTACATCAATACCTTGACTAAGTTCGATAATGAGCATTTTCTGCTCAGGGTAAGCAGACTGTTAAACAATTTGATTGGTCGAGACTTTGGAACACAATAACTCTCCTTCTTATTGAGCTAGGTGTTTATTAGGTGTAGGTGTTTATTAGGTCAATGTCTTGATGGAGTTTGAAGATGAGCATTTTCTGCTTAGGGTAAGCAGAGATAAGCAATTTGATTGGTTGATGCTTTGGGACACGATAACTTAGTTCTAATTAAGTGAGAGTTATGAAATTTAGTGTAAAGTTTTATTACATCAATACCTTGTCTAAGTCGATAATGAGCCTTTTCTGCTCAGGGTAAGCGGAGCGATAAGCAATTTGATTGGGTAAGCAATTTGATTGGTCGAGACTTTGGAACACAACAACTCTCATTCTAATTGAGCTAGAATGTTCACACTTGGCGTAGGTGTTTATTAAGTGAATGCCTTGATGGAGTTCGAAGAAGAGAATTTTTTGCTTAGGGTAAGCAGAGATAAGCAATTTCATTGGTTGATGCTTTGGGACACGATAACTTTGGTTTTAATTAAGTGAGAGTGATGAAACCCTGAGTATAGATTCATTATCTCATTACCTTGACTAAATTCGATGATGAGAATTTTCTGCTTAGGCTAAGGAGCGGTAAGCAATTTGATTGGTCAAGAATTTGAAAACATAACAACTCTGCTTTTAATTGAGGTAGAATGCTTAAACTTGATGTAGATGTTCATTAGGTGAATGTCTTGACTGAGTTCAATGATTAACATTTCGAGCTAGAGATAAGCAGAGCTAAGAAATTTCATTGGTTGATGCTTTTGGACAAGATAATTTTGATTCTATCTGATAGAGAGTGATGAAACTTAGTGTATAGTTGATAATCAGTTGGATTGCTGGATACTTTTTAAAAAAATAAATGTGCGATTAATTAATATGCGTCATCTTTTTATTTTGGGATTTCGGCAAGATCCAGATAATTTTTTTCTGCTGATTTAGAAAAATCCTAATATATTTTGCGAATGTAAGTTGTAGAAGAAAATAACGAAAATAACGAAAAGCTTTTCTTATTTTTCAGATTTTAGATATAGGTGCTTCTAACATGCCAAGTTCATCACCACCAGTATTGGCCTATGAAATATTGCTGGAGTATTGCATGGATAAAACAACATTAAGTTGCCAAGATTTATTGGATATATTAACATCTATATCACCATTAAATACACAAGACAAAGTATTAACAGAGCACAACTTTGATATATCAAGTTCAGCTGAATAGTAAGTAATATTTTAATAGCTAATCTTGTTCAGTTCCGCAATTTAAGGTACTTGTTTTCAATAGCATACTGTAAAGCAAAATAAAATATTTGGGACATAAATTATTGCAATTGAACTAATTTGTAACATTAATGCAGCTTGCAATTGACCTAAACCTTATTTGAATTAATAGATTTATAATAATATAAGTTAAGTAGTGTAAATAAAGAGACTATTGTTTGGTTACAAATTGATTATTACCGTAGCCCTTTGGAGATGACATGATTAGTGATGGGTAGTTTGAATTTAAAACTGTCTTGCTAAATTAACATAAATCAGTGACATAGTACTCCGGATAAAATATATTCAGAACATGGTTGTATTTACTGATCAAATTGTTAAGCCAAATGAAAATGTTTTTCTGTACCAATATGGAAACAAGGGAAGTAAATCTATTTAGAGATTAAGATTACAGTATATAAATAAAGTGAAGTCACCGCTGCAATCTTTTTATCCATGATATGTTTTCTTGCTCTGCAGTACAAGGGTTTAAAAACTCAATATTTAAAAGTAAGCATGTATAAGATGTGTGAGATCTAGAAATTCTTGTTAAATTTTAAGACATGGATTACCAGGGAAAGTTGTGTTATATGGGAAAATATCCTGTATATTTACACTAGATATCTGATGATGTTTGGTGTTAATTTCATACACTATTCACAATTGGCATCTTTTATCGGTGGAGAAATCATGGTTATTTTCTCTATAATTTCAGTTATAAATTTGATAAAAATTCTGATGGTCCTGGTATTGTATCACCTGAATCTCCTAGTTCTGGTGCCAGATCAACACAACCACCCACAGCTTCAGATATAGGTATTAAAACATATTTATATACTGCAGTTATTTCTTTTGTTTAATTATAAAACAACCCAAATTATGGTTGTTGGCCATAGAACGACTTCAATGCATCCAAAACACCACCCATACTCACATATCAGTCCAGTGTTGAATAAACTACATTGTACATTGGTTGCTGGCTTAAGCCAGGAATGAGTATCTTGTCAATCACTGTCTGGATGAAAGTGCGCCGTTGCACATGTATGTACCTCTTAAAGTTTTATTTTATGTCCCATTTAAGCAGTTACCATCAATTACTGAGGCATGTGTAAGGAATGACAGAAATGAAACAGGTGGGTTTGAATAACGCTTATTGCATTTTGGAAAACAGCTCTTCAATGATATTTTCAATAACAATTGTCAATGTTAAGAAAACTGAAATTAATCAAAATATCTCTTTCCCTTAAATATGTATAGTATCATTCCTCTGTTTAAATAATATTTCACTATTAATTTCAGAGAAGCTATCAAATAATCTAAATCAACCAGAATACACACGATTACGAAACCATGATCAAGTAACAAACCATTCTAAAGATGATAATAACATTTCTGTGATACGTGATCATGCTATCATCAACAGGAGTCCGGATTTTATTACAAGTATACAAACTGAATCTCAACAACGTAAAAATAAAATATTTCCATTGTCATTAAAACTTACTCAACCATCTAAAATATTCCTGTCTCTACGGAAAAATGGTAAAAAAAATCATAGGAAACTGAATCGAAAGATATACAGAGGTTTAAAACGAAAGAAGATGGCCTCCAGAAGACAAGTGTATCCTAGATCTAAAAAAATGAGATGTTCTTCACAACATAGAAAATCCAACACATTAAGAGTAAGGATAGTGAGGTAAAACCTTTGTAATTAATGAGTGTCATCTGTTCATTTTGGGATTTTGGCTGTATTTTGGTGCTGTATTATTATTTTAGGCCAATGTTCACTGTATGTGAGGCAGGCCTTCACATTTGAGACACACTGTCACCCTTGCACTCCATCGCTCATCTAAATCCAAATCTATGTGCATATTTTATTGTTCTCGTCAGTTCTTCGAAATCGCTCTCCCAACTGCATATTTTATTTCCCCAAAAGTCAGAAATATCTTCCTGTTTACTTTGTATTTACTTAAATAGCTCCATACAGATGTCAATTGCAATCACACAATGTTTTAATCTGTTATCATTTTCCTTCCTAAGAATCAGACACGTTTGTCGTCACCGTCATACTATTTTAATAAATTTTCAACCCAAAGAAGCATGCACTGGACAACTAAATGTGCCTAACACACCAACACTATAGTTATTAGCTATTAATAAACACCAGTTGACTTGTTTTCTGCTAATTCATTTTGAAATTCTTGGCAATCTCGCATGAAAATACTATGCTTTGATTACCATATAAGGCACCACGGGTCTGCCATTTCATACCTTAAAAATAGTTAAAGGGTTAATTTTGGCGTGAAAACTTCAGGCTTGACACGAGCGTGAATAACAAACGAGTAGGGTTGCCTGTCACTTTATGTGAAGTCAATACTAAATCCGGTTTCATTCCCACTGTATCTTTTCTGTCTGAATTGCTTTAAAAATTGTTTTTTTTTATTTATGCACTTAGAACAAATGGTAAAATGGACAATGGGTGTCACCTTGACATATACAGCAGTTCTAGCAGTGAGGATAATGACATAATAGATAGATCAAATACACATTCATCCCAAGTCGGTTTAAATTTGTCACATTCAAGTGGTAATGTAACAAGTTTAGACTTGGATGGCATTAGTTCTACAAAAAGTAACAACATAAAATCTCTTATGAACAGACTTGTTAAAACTTATTGTACCAGTTCAAGCCAGATTTCACAGGAGGTACATTCATTTTAAAATTTATGTTAAACAAAACATTAATGAAGTTTGGTGTGGTATTTCATTAATGATAAACTAAATCCTACAGATCAATATGAACCATACCCAATAGAGAGTATTGGTAAAAAAATTAGTCAAATCGATCATGACCATCTAAAGTTCACAATACTTTATATTGATTTCACATTTCCATCTTGAATGTCTTGGACTTGAGAGCCAACTAATGAAGGATAAGTTGTTTATATCCATGAACATCGAGCAACCCCAGGGTAGTATTCAACGTAGGTTCTTTAATGTTTTAGCCCAATTTATTGTCAAATTTAAAGAGAGAAAAAATTATTGGCCTTCTGGTATATTGTGATTTTAAAAGTTTAATAAAAATTATGGGAATGCATTGTTTCAGTTGATGGAAAGTGAAGCTATAGCTGAGGGTTTATTAACTAAAGATACATCTATAGATGACAGTGATAGTAGTTTTGAATATTGGACATCTGACATGCAAGTTTATAGCACTGCTAGTACTACTAGTGAAAGAATTCATAGACATACTGATTATGATAGTGTATCAGATATAGATGATATTACGATTAGCGCAGATGAATGTGAAGACAACTCGGAAATTATACCAAGTTCATGTCTTAGTGAGGTCATTATTGTTTTCTTTTGTCCTAATCTACATGTATTCTTTTACTGGTAACCTTAAATATATGAAAAATTATTTTCTGAAAATGTGATAATGCCATGTGAACCGTATATTTTAATTCCTTTGACCTGTGTATAATATATAGTTATTAATAACAGTTCAAATGAAATATTGTTTTAATGTCATTGCCTTTGGTACACATATTTTCAACTTTTACATGGTGTTTATCACATTTTGGACAAGAGCTTTTTATATATTATACACTGCCGTTTGTGTGGAATTTCGTGCCCCATGAGTAGTATACTATATCAACCTTAGCTGTGGAAAACATTGTAGTTTGCTTTAAGAACAAGTCAAGAAGCGAAGTATAGTCAGTAATGATATATGTTTCTGTTAAAGGTATATTATATACTAAACAGCAAAAATCAGAGAGGCACTTTAATCAAATCATTCTAGAAAACGACTTACTAAATGGATCAAACCAATTTTTTGTGAACAGTATGTTGACACATTAGTGATTAATTCATCACAATTCTAAGACATTACAAGAAGGTTTAGAGTCTGTACACAGTCTTTACATCAGAATCTGGTGTTTCCACTGCGAGTGTCAATAACAGCAGCGCAGCGTCTGTACATGGAGTGGACCAGACAATTGATGAACGCCATTGGCACATGGAACCACACTCTCAGAAAAGCCTGGCGATTCCACCCCAAACCATTATGCTTGGACCTCCCCATGAGTCTCGTCAATGACATATTGGTGAGAATAACGCTGGCCACGTCAACGCCATATTCTGGTCCTGCCATCTGCAGTTGATACGCAATACTGACTCTCATCTGTGAACAGAACAGTTCTCCATTGCCTGTGTCACCAGTTCTGGTTTTCTTGGGCAAACTGTAGACGTTCACGTTGATGGCGAGGGTCCACAGTAAGGTCTACAGCAATGGATGTTCTCTCTGGTGAGACGTCGGCACACTGTATCGGTACTGATGGGTCTTCCGTGTGTTCCCACTGTCTGATGTGCTGTCTCAGATGCCTGTGCGAAGGGATTCTGCACTTGCTGTCGCACAACATGGCGGTCTTGTCGCCTTGTGGTAACCCTAGGTCTACCAGTTCGGGAGCCATCATCCGTGGTGTTGGTGGCCCGAAAACATTGCTGAAATCTGCAGATGGTCCGAACATTGACCTGGAATTGATTTGCAATGGCTTGGGCAGTGTGGCCAGCGTCGATTCTTCCAAGCGCCTGGTTCCTCAGAGTTGTCTTGAGTCGTGGTATGCTGCTGACGTTGCAGTGTGAATGATTCAACCAGGTATGGGGGTGCATTTTATAGGGCTTGTTTCGGTGAACGGCACGTGCAGCATGAGTTACATGAAAATAATGGAGAACACATTACCATCTCAGAAGTAAGGTTGTGTTTTTGAGAACATATCCTGGATTCAATTCTGTGTTTGGGAAGGACTCTTATTGCTCAGGTAAAGTTGGAGATGTGGTCACAAATATACAAAAACATTTTTATAAAACATTTGGCAAATTTTATGAAATGCGTCTATTCAGAGTAACATACCAACCTGACGTTTCTTTTGCTGCTTTGTATATATTGAATACACTCTCATCTTTTTTTTTAAGACAAGGATCACATGACTCCACTGCATTTCCATTGATAAAGGAAATCGGTTCGATGACTGAATAGTTAGCACGTGCACGCTGTATCAAAAGGTCTGTCATTGAGTCAACTGACATAGTTTCGATTCCCGGTTGTATGTGACAAGGAGTAGGGTTGCCTGTCCAACCTTGTGGGTTTTCTCTGGGTCCTCTGTTTTCCTCCCACTGCGAATTATTGAAATAAAATTGAACCATGAGTTAGTCCCGAAATGACCTAGTTTGTGGAGAGTGGACATTAGACCCCATCTCTCTCTCTCTCTCTCTCTCTTTGATGAATCTATTTTTATTGGCAGTGCTTGTGTGTAAATAAATCATTATTATATGCACTAGTACTATTGGAGGTATCAACACTTAAATTGTTTTCCTACTTTATTTTTTCTAGAATGTAAATTCTGATGGAGGCAGCAATAATATATTAACTGATTTATCACACAGTATAACTTCCCACAGAAAACAAGAATTTTGTAGAAAATGTATTGTAAAAATCACCAGAAATAAGGTATTTATTGTTTGACAAATTGTTATCCCACAAAACAAATAAATGTAAATATCTTATAAACTCGAACAGGTTTATCGATTTTAGAAAGTATTTACATGAATATATTCTCTGGTCTTTGAGTCTCAAAGTTCAGTGCCTTCTTGTAAATGTTAAGGCTTGAATCTTTCAAAAATAAAGTTATTTTGGGTTAATTTATTTGAAGTGTAATGAATATAATAATATATTTTAGGATATACTTATATTGTAACAATGTCATTTATTATTGCAGGTTTTAGATGTAGAAAGATATGATGCCAAATATAAGATGTTTTCCTGATAGAATTTGATGGAAAAACAATTTTAGTAACAAATATGTTTTGTATAAATCTTATGAAATGATGATGATTAATGTCGTTTTTTAATTGGTACCTTTTGAAGTCAAATTCATTATTGGGCAATGATGACTTGAAATAATTTCTGTACACAAATTACTTGTAGACCGGAGGCTTAGCGCAGGGGGGGGGGGGGGGGGGGGGGGGGGGGGGGTTGTCCATCAAATGGGCACAAAACCAGACCCAACTTTTCTAGAGTAAAATTTTGCGTAGAATACGATGCCGAGTGGTAATCATTCCCCCGTTGGGGCGTTTTCAAGATATTCGGGGTCAAAGGTCAAATGAGTTCATTTGCACTGAAAGTGAATGCGCAGTCATTCTTGTATTATGAAAAGAAGCTGAAAATGATCGAAAGTAATCACACTTTCAATAAAAATGTAAACTTGCTAAAATCCGATTTATTTTCATAACAATTGTTATACATAATGATACTAGTTATCTGAAAAACAATTGAATAGTTTCAGTGTTGGACTCCAGCCTGCTGGCCTTGCGAGAATCCCAGTCTAGGAAAACCGACGTTAATCTGTGACAGGAAAACACGTATCTGACCACGAGATTAAAAGTTTGCAAATTTTTTTATGAGTTTTTATGAATTTCGCCGGAACACGGACGCAGATAAAACCGACGAATGCATTGTAATTAGTAGTTCACAGGATATATATGTCGTATTGGTAAATGCTAGCGGGGAAAATTTGGGCTGGCTTTGTGACTCGGCCTGCTGGCTGGAGTCCAGCCATGGAATTATTCAATTGCTTTTTTCAGACAACTAGTATCATTATGTATAGCATTCGTTGTAAAACTAATTCGGAGAGATTTTGATTTAACAGTTTTTATGTATTTTTGAAACAGGGCCTGAAGCGTTTTGGTTCTGATATGCAAGATCATTTTCGACATTCCAAAGTAAAAGTTCGGTGCTAAGACCACCTAAAGATAAATTTTAAATGTTCCTATAATTAATTAGAACAGGTTTCGCTTTAGTTTTTATATGTTACGCTGACATTTATTACTTTAAATCTTCCTAGTGCTAAAACGGAAAATCTGACCTTTTAACCTCTGGGGTCACAAAGAACAAAGGTGAATTTAGCAAGTTTACATTTTTATTGAAAGTGTGATTACTTTCGATCATTTTCAGCTTATTTTCATGATACAAGAATGACCGCGCATTCACTTTCAGTGCAAATGAACCCATTTGACCTTTGACCCCAAATATCTCGAAAACGCCCCAACTGATTACCACTCGGCATCGTATTCTACGCAAAATTTTACTCTAGAAAAGTTGGGTCTGGTTTTGTGTCCATTTGATGGACACCTCCCGCGCTGAGCCTCCAGACTATTGTTATATTTTGTTAATTCTTACATGGTTATTAAAAAATTTGTTTTTCATGTTCCCAAATTGAAATATGGTTGTCTATTGTCATTTGATTTATACATATATTATAGTGTTTATGTTCACAAGTTAAACATGCATTATGCAAGAGCTAAATCTGCCTATTGCAGGTCTTTCTTTAGGCCTGAAATGTTAGCTAAATTATTAATTAGATGTTAATTAACTGATCCAGGCCATAATCCAGTGTGAAGCAATTTGGCTGAAATATTCAGCATTTTCTGTTTTCATTATCTATTCTTTAACTATTATAGCAAGAACTGCTCTTTATCTAATCTTACCTAATGCCCCTATAAAGTATCCCATTGATTTTCAGTGATTTTTGATGATTATTGTCAGAATTATGGCTCTTTGTCAATTTGGAAAATGTTGTCACTCTAGAGACTAAAGTTATAATCCAATTGACACACTATAGGCTAAAGTTATCATCCGTTTGACTGAAAATTTATACACATCAGACAAAGATTTTCTTTCAACAATTACTTATATAAACTTTTAGAGTTATGGCTTTTTGGTCAAATTTTTAAACTATTGTGGACACTCTAGAGACTAAAGTTATCATCCAGTTGATTTGAAATTTATACACGGTATAAATAACTCGAACAACGAGGAGCCAATCAAATTATAATTATTTCTGATAATAATAACTTCATAGGTTGTATCTTTAGTGTCTTGTGAATGCCCCGATCATCTACAAAAGAATAAATATGTGACAACCTTCAAACAACTAAGTGGCTGTGGCCGTGTGTTTCCTTGTCTGCCAACCCATCTTTTTCTAAGTTCGATCTTATACTTCTTATTGGCTTTAGCTTTTTATACACACACATTTACTGTAAACATATTTTGTCGTCATTGTTGATTCAAAATCAGGAAAAAGAATTTGTGGACATTGTAAGAGTCTACATTTTTTCATTCAATTATAACCAAACTTTTTGCAAGTCATCAATCATTCTTGGAGTTATTGCTCTTAACTTAGCTGCCTTTATCTTAGCTACACTATTTCAAAATGAGATTGTAAACACAACAAAATCTACATTTACCATTTCAAAAAAATTGATATGTTGCCTTTCAATTAAGTTTACATGCATATGATTTAAATGAAACTTAAGTCTTTTACTTCTTGAATACAGCGCAGTGTCAGCACAGGTCCAGAGTAGCTTTCTTGTGTATTTAATTCTGTTCTCCTTATATATTTAAATAGTTGCTTTTACTATACAAAGTGAATAGACGTACTCAAAACTAGACAATTATTGTTTTACAGCTGCTGTTTCGAAAAGTCTTCAAGAGAACATGATCGAGGTGTTGGCTTTTTACAGTAAAACTAAATGCAACTGTTTTAACTGCAAAATGCAAAGTTTCTTTGAAATCAAACGCAATTGCTCTGTGAATAACTGACACATCTTGCATTAATTTAATATTTCACAAATGTGAATCCACATATTGTTTAATTACAATTGGGTGAAATAGAAGATATTTACAAATTAATTATTTTTATATGCCAACATGGAATGGTGTCATACATTGTCATCGCTCCTGTCTGTTGGTCGGTCGTCAACAATTGCTTGTAGACACTCTAGAGGCTAAAGTCAATATCTGATTGCCTTAAATTTCCTACATAGGTGTATAATCATGAGACAAAAAAGACAATTGATTTTCATAGTATTCGGATATTTACTGCCAGAGTTATGCCTTCTTGATCACTTTGGAAATTCTTATGGATGCTCTATTCTTGAGACTAAAGTTATCATCCTACTCTTAGTGACTTTATTTTCAACAATGTCTGATATCTACTGCCAGAGTTATGGCCATTGCATCTCTCCTTGATCACTTTCAAAAATCTTGTGTACCGTCTAAAATACTATCATCTAATTCATATTACTTTATACACATTATTTTATACGCAGAGTTTAAGATCATGAGATAAAGAAGCCTACTTATTATCAATGATTTTTTATAATTACTGACTAGAGTTATGGCCCTTAATGACTGTGGTGATTGTTATGTTGGTAACTAGCCAATTGAAAGTACATATAACATGATAAAAAAAGATTTATTGCCAAGGAAACAATTTACATATAATCTTTGAGTAGTATTAAAGGAGGCAAGTCGCTAACTCAATATCATCCGCAGTCTTCGACATTGCAAACGGGACTTGTTGGTCAATTTAAATCAACATTGATGTTATCTTACTGCGTAAAGATGGACTTCTGATGCCAGAATGCTTTTGAGGGCCATTTGTAATGAAGCAACTTGATGGATGAGGCTAACCTTACCCCACAGGAGAATACTACTGGTGTAGACTGGAATAACCAGATGCAAAAGACTGCCATTCAATTTGAACTCTATGCGTATTTTGCCGAACATAACTGATGAGAAATTACGGTAAAAACAGAACCGATTAAAAGTAAATCAGTTTATGTACATTCATAATACATTATTATATGCATTGCGACCCATTTGTGTCCATTTCTAGCTAAGTGCCAAAGAATAGCGATTTAGCTCCTTTAAGTAATTAAAGAGTAATAACACGCTGATATAGTGTAATAACAATTATGATTAATTAACATACAACGTTTTGACGATCATACTCTTGTCTTAATTCAAGCAAATTATAACATGTAGGTAAAACTTGCTATAGACGAGATGGCTTCAAATTAAAAAATGGATTTAAACATTTTTTCAATCTTTTTTCATTTGACTCGTATAAGTTTTCACCAGCGCCAGCAAATCCTGGAAACTTTTCCTGGTTTGAACTCTGACCCAATAATCATGAACACAAGTTCGTTTCTGGTTGGAGAAATATCTGCTATCCTGCCCCAATAATACTAGACGGTTTAATAATATAGTTAAAACTATATCAACTGTTGTGAATTCTGGACCAATCAACCAATTTTTACCACTCTCTGAAAAAAAATAATACCCACAAATTTAAAGCATTTCATTAATTTCCAAAACATGAACTACCAGGATTCGTGAACAAATTATGTAATCCAGAGGACAAGAATTTGTGATTTATGGATGGCAAAATCTCGTCAGAGGTCCCCATTGGAAATTCTGCATGAACATGTTTTGTAGAAAAAATGCACATAAAACAAAAATATACCACAAAACTTTGGAGAAAATTGTTTAAAATTGACAGTTGCTGAGAATCTCTATTGAGAATGACATTTGTCTGAAGATTGAAATGGAATCAAAACGTATTTAAGTCTGATTTCAGCCTCACAATCAATATCATTCTCCTCTTGATTAAAATCCCTTAAAATTACCTAGCTGTGGTTTCCAGAAACAATAATTATGACCCCTAATGTTTACTGGTATACATAATAGCATACTCCTCGCAGTGGTTCGTTTGATTAGAGCTAATCCCACTCAACACTGCTGTAAAGGACGCAAATTTCTTTTCCAAATTATGACTGGTCAATAGTCCGAATAACAACCAATAGCTAACTGCGTAACAATATCATTATGCTTTAAACACAGAGCTCCAAATTGGACCAAATATGTTTACATAACGTTACATCATGACTCATGATTTTATTATGGCCAATTAACCAGTGCATAGCAGAATATTGCAGAAAAACTAATTGCGTGACAAACAAGGTTATCAACACGCATACAATGTAAACAATACTTTCACCATTTTTAATACCTTAAATCACTGTCCAAAGTTTTAGGGAATACCCCAGATTAAATGAAAGGCTGTCATGTTGCTGTACTTGGGATAGATTTGATTGAACGGGAA